CCTTGTCTCAAAATGAAAATTAAAAGAGACTGGGGGCTGTGTCACGTACAACCAGAAGAATGAGAAGTTATATGTCTATATATGTGTAATATGTCAAAATACATCCTACTGTCATGTATAATAAAAACAAAGAAAAAATTTAACAATTTTTAAAAAAGAAGCAATAGGCACATATAATCAGACACGTAGATTAATATACGTACACAAATATGTATTAATTTGTATGAAGAAAATTTGATCTTGAAGATATTGTTTTTAAAAGCTTTATTACCTACTCTGGTTAATGATAATTTATTGTATATTTAAATGTATTTAGAAGAAAAGATCTTAATGTCTCCAACACACAGACATAAATGTTTGAAATGATGGATATGTTGATGATACCAGTTTGATAATTACATATTTTATACATATATTAAAACTGTTACATTGCATACTAACAAAAAGGACTGGGGATATAGCTCAGTGGTAGAGCACTTGCATAGAACGTGTAAGGCCCTGGGTTCAAGCCTCAGTACTGGAGTCAGGAGAGCTGTTGGGACTCTGAGCAGTGGGGTATGTTGTGCAGTTAAGAGACAGTGGTGACACTGATTGAAGCTTTAGGGGGCTGGGGATATAGCTCAGTTGGTAGAGTGCTTGCCTTGCATGCACAAGGCCCTGGGTTCAGTCCCCAGCACCAAAAAAAAAAAAAAAAAAAAGAAAGAAAAAAGAAAAGAAAGAAGCTTTAGGGCTAGGATGTGACTCTGTAGTCTTGTCTAATGTGCTTAAGGCTCTGGGTTTGATCCCCAGCACTGAAAAAAAAAAATCTTAGGAAGTTGATGTTGTCATGTGGCAACTAGACCAACTGAATTTAACTCAGTTGATTAAAGTAGCATACCCTAATGCTGCCTTGGTAATGTTATTTAAAATAGAACATACTTAATTTTTGCCAAGTGTCTAAAGACTCTGCAACCCCTCACCGATGCAGTTAGATTGCATGTCTCTAACACACGACGAGTGACAGACACCACTGCGTCCATTTTACAGATGCTGGATCTAGGAGTAAAGAGCAGGTGGTAGTCTGGAAAGAGGGCTCTGGAGGGTAGTCTAACTTTCCAGGTCAGTGCCTCTGCGCCTCCCAAGAGATCACTTCCTTCATTTCCTTTTTCAACCCCCAGAGACCAGAAAGGCTCATTACACTACTAATTTGATATTATTTGACATGTGTGTATCTCTTTTATTTTCACCTTTTCTTTTCTATTTTTTCCCTTAATTTATTGGTTCTTTTTAGTTAAACACGACAGTAGAATCCATTCTGACATAATTATAAAAGCATGGACTATACCTTGTTCTAATGCAGGCCCCAGTACCTCTCCTTCTCTTCCCCTTCCCCCCCTTGCTCCCTCCCCTCCCCTGCTCTTTCTGCATTTCCTCCTACTTATTTTTTTAAATTAATATCTTGTGGATGTACATGGCGGTAAGATTCACTGCGATGTATCCATTTATGTACGTAGGAAAGTTAGATTCATTCCACTGTCTTGCCTTTCCCCGTCCCCTCTCTCTTCCCTTCATTCCCCTTTGTCTACTCCACTGAACTTCTATTCTTTTTTTCACACCCCATGCCTTAGTGTGGACTAGCTTCCACATATCAGAGAAAAGACTCAACTTTCAGTTCTTTGAGAGTGTTAATTGTTAATTTGAGAGTGTTAAGTGTTAATTGCACTTAGCATAAACATTTATAAATGCTATAAAATCATTCTTCTTTGTGGCTGAGTAATGTTCCATGGTATATATCTACCACTTTTTCTTTATCCATTCATCTGTTGAAGGGCACCTAGGTTGGCTCCATAGCTTAGCTATTGTGAATTCTGTTGCTCTAAACATTGATGTAGCTGTATCACTATAAAATGATGATTTAAAACCCTTTGGATGTACATCAAGGGGTGGCAACTCTTTGATATTGAGGTCAGCCATCACCTGCTCAGAGACCCTCTCCAGGCTCAATTAGCCTCACTGGTTCTCCTCTCTCAAATCATTCTAAATTACTCTCTCTGTAAGCATGTCCTAATGTCCGATGTTATTTTCTTCATTATTTATGTATTCTTTTTTTCTCCTATTAAAAGGAAACCTCTAGGAGAATAAAACTTTGTCTCATTCACTGCTGTATCCACTATGCCTAGGAAGGTGACTGATGCATAATAGGTGCTCAATAAAAATGTGCTGGATGAGTGAATATATTTGCACTCTTTCTTAGAGAGTGATGCTGGGAAGAGTAGCTCAAAGAGAATGAAAACAGGTCTCCACAGTAAGGCTATGGTCCTCAAGTCTCTTGCCTGTGAAATTAGACAGTCATACCAAAAGTGGATCTGAGGAAAGAAATGTTGAGGACCAAATGAAAAAAATGGAGATACTTTGACAGTGAAAATGAGTTGAGTGGGAGATGTCATTATCAATCTGCTCGACTCTGAGCCTTTTCCCTTGGTAAGGGGACCGGACCTGTTGACTGCAGCTTGTTGGAGGAAGCTCTTGCTGTCTCATTGCTGCCCCAGCTCAGCCTGTCACTGTGTCCTCTGCAGTCAGCACATCCTGCCCCTGCCCCCTGATGCCACAGCCCTTGGCCGAGCAGCCAGCCCTGGCATCATGCACCTGGCCTGGCGCAGGGTGGGCAGGTCTCCTGAGCCACGGGAAGGCTGCTCTCCTCTCCAGGAGCTGAGGCCCGAACCAGGCAGCAGCCACTCTGGGGAGAAGCCAGGGCCCAGGTGCTGTGGCAGCCAAAGGCCTGGAAAATGGCATTGTCCCTTGCAGCCAGGGGCCTCCAGCCAGATGGGGGTGTGTCCTGTGCAGATACACTGTGTCGAGCATTCTCAGACCATGGCTTCCAAGAGGATAATCCCTGCAACCATTTTTAGGCTTGGCATGTTGTTAGTAAGTAGCAGGTGGGGAGTGAAAATGAATTTTTTTTTCTCTTTCCACATTTTTATTGGTGCGTTACAGTTGTACATAATGATGGGATTTGTTGACACATATTTGTACCTGTGCACAATGTGACAGTATAGTCCAGCATCTCCCTCCTCCCTCCCCACCTCCAACCCCCCCACCTGTCCGTTTCCTTCACTGATCTCCCCCTGATCTTCATGAGATCCCCCCACCTTTCTTCTCCTTTTCCCTCTCTAGCTTCCACATATGGGAAAAAAAAAAAAAAAACATAAGACCTTTGACTTTCAGAGTTGGGGCTTATTTTGCTTCACGTTATGATCTCTAGTTTCATCCATTTTTCTTCAAATGTCATAATTCCATTTATCTTTAGGACTGAATAAAACTCCATTGTGTCTATATACCACATCTACTTTATCCTTTCATCCATTGATGGACACCTATTGATGGTTCCATAGTCTGGCTATTGTGAACTGTGCCGCTATAAACGTAGGTGTGCGGTGTGCATGTGTCCCTGTAGGATGATGGCTTTAATCCTTCAGGATAAATGCTGAGGAGTGGCATAGCGAGGTCATATGGGGGTTCCATACCTAGGCTTTTGGGAGCCTCCTCACTGATGTCCATAGTGGTTGTACTAATTCACAGTCCCATCAAGAGTGTAAAAGTGTTGCTTTTTCTCCACACCCTCTCCAGCCTTTATTATTATTTGTATTCTTGACTGTCATTCTAACTGGTGTGAGATGAGATATCAGTGTAGTTTTGATTTGCATTTCCCTAACAGCTAATGATATTGAACGTTTTTTTCATGTATTTGTTGGCCATTAGTTTTTCTTCTTTGGAGAAGGGTCTGTTTAGGGGCTGGGGTGGTGGCTTAGTGGTAGAGTGTCTGCCTAGCACACATGAGGCACTGGGTTCGATCCTTGGCACCACCTACAAATAATAAAGGCATTGTGTCCATCTACAACTAAAAAATAAATAAAATAAAAAATTTAAAAGTAGTTTTTGTTTAATTCATTCGCCCATTTGGAAATAAGTAATTTCTAATACTGGTCAATAATAATAATAACTTTCTCCTTAAATAGTAGAGAGTTTTGAAAGTTCCAGGGCATTTTCATCCGTATTACCTCCCTTGACCCTGACAACGCTCCTGTAATTAGTGTTCCTTTTTAAAGTAATGGGATGTACACTCTTTAAAACTGAGGGGTGCAACTTGTCCAAGGTCAAACATCAGAGTGGTGGAAAGAGAAACTAGAATCCAGGTTTCCTAGCTCTCAGACTAGACTGACAGCCATGCCCCGCACAGGGCCAGCTCTGGTTGTAGGCATGTAACCTAAGTTGAAAACAGTCCCCCCGAGAAATTCCCCAAAGGTACCTGGACTCTAATTAATGTTCTTGAGTCTGGCAATAGAATTCAGTGGTAGAATGTTTACCTGGCATACAAGAGCCCTGGGTTCAATCCCCAACACTGCCAAAAAACAGAAGAAAAGAAATACTTTTAAGCTGGGCACAGTTGACACATGCCTGTAATCCCAAAGGTTCAGGAGGCTGAGGCAGGAGGATTGAAAGTTCAAAGCAGCCTCCGTAAAAACAAGGCACTAAGCAACTCAGTGAGACCCTGTCTCTGAACAAAGTACAAAATGGGGCTGGGGATGTGGCTCAGTGGTCGAGTGCCCCTGAGTTCAATCCCTGGTACCCCCCCCCACGAAAAAAAAAAAGAAGTGCTTTTAAAACATCAAACACTTTTTAGCCAGCAAAGAAAATGGGGATGTGGTAGAAAATGCCTATCTGTGGTAGGTCTGCCATTTAGAAGAAAGACAAGTACATATAAGCAAGTCCCACAAAAACCACACTTTTAAAAGAAAAATGTAATTTTGTCTTGGATTCAACCCCTCACAAAATAACGGATTGGGCAGCCCCCAGGCTAGATACTGCCACATAGGAGGTGCTGGGCAAATGCTTGTTGAATGGACAGACAGATGGCTGTTGCAGCCTGCGCTAGCTTTCCTCTCTCATCTTGATGAAAAAGAACATATTCTTCTATCAGATACAGAGTCACAAAATATTCCAATATTGGCATGGTGCTTTACCTTTTACTTTAAAAGATCTTTCTTGTGCAGTGCCTCAGTTGATCCTCAAATAACCCTCTGAAAGAGGCAATTTTATAGGTGAGGAGACTGAAGTTTGGAAGGAGATGAATTATTTTCCTAGGGTCAGAAAGAAAAATAACAAATGAAAGATTTATCTTTTGTCCTTCCTCCCTCCCTCTCTTCCTTCCTTCTTTCCTCTTCCCCTCTCTTTTCCTCTCCCTCCTTTCTCTTCCTCCTCTCTCTCTCTCTTTTCCTCTCTCTCCCAGCACCTTCTTTTCTTTTCTGGGTTCTATATTTATTTATTTATTTTCTAGGTGCTTATTATGTTTCCGAGGCTGGCCTTGAACATCTGGACTGGGGTGATCCTCCTATCTCGGCCTCCCCAGTAGGTGGGATTTCAGGCATGGGCAACTAGACCCTCTTTGAAAGAACAGAAAGAACATTTTTAAATGTATTAATGAATTGGAAAGAAATTGAGGACTATTCCGAATTAAGCAACTAGATAAAAGAGAAAATTCAGAGAAAAAAAAAATGGAACATTGAAGTTGGCTTTGGCCTTCCGGGACTTCAATTTTAATTTTCACAGATTCACGAGGCCTGACGAAGGAGAAAAAGTCTGGTGCTATACTAAAAGTGGGGAAGATGGTAAGATTCCTCTGCAAAAAGCTGCTTCCCTCGATTCCTGCACCATCTGCATAGAGATGGATGAGAAGCAAACCAGGTTCCACTCTGACCACAGGGACTACAAGGAAAAGCACATGTCTCCAACTTTGATACTCCAAAAAGAGGAGAATTCGTGTGAAAATTTATAGCCATAAACCAGTCCTTCCATGGGTTTGCACTTCAAATTCACACTCCTTGGGTAGTCAAGGAGCCTTGAATTAAAAATGTGATAGTGAATCTGAGTTAAGTGCCCCCAGTCACCGAGGGGAATTAAAGGCTGTCTCTCCGAAGAAATTTTAATCCAAACTGCAAAGAATTCTCAGATAAAATTTCAAAGATAGAAATTCACAGTCGAGAATTAGAAAGCATTTAAGGAAGCAAAGCACCATGAGCAAGAGCCAGCGGACAGCAGAATTGGACCCACAGTAACATCAGCTATTGAAATTATCACACATAAATGTAAAATGATATGTAAAAGGCCACAGAAATGCCCAAGCAGATTGCTGAACTTTCAGCAATTAAAAGTTATACAATTGCTGAAATTAAAAACTCAATAGATGGCTTCAACAGATTAAACATAACTGAAAAGAATATAAAATAGAATATAGATCCAAAAATATTCAGAACGTGGCTCAGAAAGATAGAAAGAAGGAAAATTTAAAAGAAATATTAAGAAGCAGAGCACAGCAGCAACCTCCGCCCGGTCATCCCAGCCTCTTCAGAGGATGAGATGAGGATTGTAAATTCTAGTCCAGACTTGGCAACTTGGAGAGATTTTATTTAAAAAGAAATAAAAAGGGCTGGGACTGTAGCTCAGTGGTAGAACACTTCAGGGTTCAATCAATTCCTAGTATCTTAGGGGGAAAAAACAACAAAAAGAAAAGACATGTTAAGAGACATGTAACATATTACAAGCACTGTAAATGCATCTCAAGAAAATTAGGGGAGAAGAGAGGGACGGAGGCCATATTTGAAAAACAGGAACTTTCCACAGAATCCCCAAACTCCCCAAATCCCAAGGATAAATAAAAGGTCAAATTAGATGGCATAGTAAGTTCTAGAACTATTATGACTTACCTCTGTAAGTCATACTTAGGTCCCAACCTTTGTTCAACTCCACATCACAAATTTAAGATCAAGCTGGGAGTGGTGAGGGTTGTGTTTGGCACGAGCCTACCGTCCTACACGGTGCTGAACCTTGTGGTCCTCTTGGTGTGGTATATGCATCAAGACTGCTTCAGGGCTAGAGATGCAGCTCAGTGGTAGACTGTGCTTCAGATTTCAGATCTAGAAATTTTTCTCGAAAGTCTGATGAAATTGCCATCTACACCAATGCAAAGAAGCTCCTGAATCCCCAACTTACTTACAATGTTTTCTCTCCTCTCCTCCTTCTCCTCCTCCTTCTCCTCCTTCTTCACACTGAAGATTGAACCCATAGGCACTTTAACAGTGACCTACATCCCAATGCCACCCCCACCCTTTATTTATTTATTTTTTTTGAGAAGGGGTCTCACTAAGTTGCTGAGGTTAGCCTTGAACTTGAGATCCTCCTGCCTCAGCCTTCAAAGTCACTGATTATAGAAGTTTGTTTGTTTCTTTAGAGTGGTGTAGAAGCAATACTCATTTAGTGGAAAGCGAGCTTTGAGTTTTGAAGTTTGGTCTTTTCCCAGGCTAGTGATATATGGTACAATCCTCTCTCCATACTGGACAGCAGCCACAGCTCCCAGTTGGCTACAGGATCACAGTCCGTGCTCCACAGTGGGCTGTGTGGCTAAGCTGGGATGTTTGGTATTTAGTGCATTTTCAACTTGTGATATTTTCATCTTAGAATTTTCAGGTTTATGGGGACATAACCCCATCTTTCTCTGCAGTGTGTTCTCACTGCACTGACTTCAATCTCTATTATTTAGATTAGCAAACCTGAGGCTGGGCTGGCTGTAGGTCAGTGATAGAGCCCTTGCCTTGTATGCACAAGGCCCTGAGTTCTATCCTCAGAACCACAAAGAAAAAAATGGGGGGATAAGTAATCTCGTATCCAGGTGTTGTCTTCACCTGGGTTTTCACTCTGAGCCTGCTATTGGTGTTTATCAAGACAGTGGCCCCACACACACACTACACACATCAAACTGCAATTACAGGACTGAAAGACACAGCCAGGCATGGTGGCTCACACCTGTGATCCCAGCCTCTCAGGAGGTTGAGGCGGGAGGATCACAAGGTCAAAGCCAGCTTCAGCAATTTAGCAAGGCCCTAGGTAACTTAGCAAGACCCTGTCTCAAAATAAAAAGTAGGCCAGGCACTGTTCTGCATTCCTGTAATCCCAGCAGCTCAGGAGGCTGGATGAAGAGGAGGATCAAGAGTTCAAAGCCAGCCTCAGCAACTTAGTGAGGTGCTAAGCAACTCAGTGAGATCCTGTCCATAAATTACAAAAAAGGGCTGGGGATGTGGCTCAGTGGTTAAGTGCCCTTAGTACCAAAAATAAAAAAAGTTTTTTTAAATAAAAATAAGATTTTGTAGAAAAAAGGCTGGGATATGACTCAGTTGTTAAGCACCCTGGTTTCGATCCCCAGTTAAAAAAAAAAAAAAGAGGAAGAAAATCTTTTAAAAAGCCTAGAAGAAAAACAAAATAAAACATGATTTTCAAAGAAATGATCATTAAAGTATCAACTGACTTCCTAATAGAAAGAAAAAAAAAAACTTCAATGTGCTGACAGAACATGCTTAGCAACCTTAAAAATCTATATTAAAACAAAAATTATAAATAAAAATAAAGTAAAAACTCCATGTTTAGAAGAAAAAAACATTTCAATGAATTTTCAGAACAACTAATTTTGGGAGGGGAGGTAACCAAGGATTGAACCCACACACTTAACCACTGAGCTACATCCAAACCCTTTTAATTTTTTATTTTGAGACAGGGTCTCACTAAGTTGCTTAGGGCCTTGCTAAATTGCTGAGACTGCCTTAGAACCTGTAATCCTCCTGCCTCAATCTTCAGAGTCGCTGGGATTACAGATGTGCGCCACTGTGCTGGGCAGAACTACTGATTCTACTACAACAGACTCTCACCAAGGAAAATTTGAAGATGCTAAAAGATAAAACTCTACATTTCCAATTTTATGGGATAAAGCTAAAGCATTTCATAGAAGGGAAATTTTAGCCTTGAATAATCATACTAGGATTGAAGAAATAAAGGCTAATAACTAATGAGCAAAGCATCTGACTTCAGGAGGTAGCAAAGCCGGGCTCCAACATCAGCCTGCTTCCTCGTCACAGCCCCAGCTCATGGTCTCAGAGCAAGGGGCATCTAGGAGCACTCAGAGAGCTGGGGACAAGCAGCAAGGAAATCATTGAGCACCGTGCAGTGAAAAATGGCACTTATATTCTCTGGGAATTTGGTTTTGAGGACTGGGTGGCAGGGATGGACATAGGCGGAATTGAAGTCAGAGGACAGGGGCAGAAGCAAAACTAATTTACCCTTTTCCTTGGGGTGAGGGTCCCTTATTTGCCTGTGTCCTGGCTGCTTTGGCCCCACATGTCCTTCTCCACTGGAGCCAGCAGAGGCCATGAGAAAGGGGACAGAACAATTTAGAATTGCCCCCACTAAATGCAGCATGCAAAAATAAACGAGACACCACCGGGAAGGGTCAGAGCCCCCATTCGAGTTTAGAGTTGCCCAGTAAAGAAGCTAAACATCCGTCCTCTGGGTTCAGGAAAATGTATCCCTTCGTCCTCTCGAATGCATGTGATGTAACTTTGCTGTCTGCCTTTGGTGAATACACAAGCAGGTGGGGGCCACACGGAGGAGACTCACAAAATCCGGCAGCCAGAGTTGACAGGGAGTCTCCATTTGTCTAACACCCATTTCCTGAGCATCTCAGTCCCACAGTTTTTTTTTTTTTTAATGAGTATACATGTTTAATATACTCTTAAAATGTTACTAAAGTATGGATGGGGATATAGCTCAGTTGGTAGAGTGCTCATCTTGCATGCACAAGGCCCTGGGTTCAAACCCCAGCACCACACGCACAAAAAAAAATGTTACTAAAGTACCAATATAATGACATATATAAGGCATAAAAACACAAATTCAGGGACAAAAGCAACAAATCTTGAACTCTAAAAATCAATTGGATGGATGTTAATTGATTTAGCAGAATTTAGAAAATGCAACCCTAATCTGGCAGTGGATGAAAGTGAATAACTTTCTTTGTTTTAAATCTTGATTATCTTTGCATATTAATTGTACAAAATAATGGGTTTCGGTGTGGCATTGTCACACACACATAATGTGTTTTGATGACCCACCTCCCTATCACCCTTTCTTACTTCCCTTCCCCCCCCACCCCCTTCTCTTTCCCTGACAATCCTTCTACTTTTGAGCCATCTTCTTCTTCTCCTCCTTTTTTCTTCTAGATTCCACATAGGAGAGAAAATATGTGATGCTTGTCTTTCTGTGTTTGGCTTATTTCATGTAACACAATGATCTCCAGTTTCAGTCATTTTCCTGCCACAGACATGATTTAGTTCTTCTT